CTCATTAAGAATCGTCATGGCATTGGTAGCTCATTATGATCTTGAGTTGCATCAGATGGACGTGAAAACATCATTTCTGAATAGGGATCTAGATGAGGATCTATATGGAACAACTTGAAGGATTCATTGAAAAGGGAAAAGAAAATTGGGCTTGTAAACTTAAGAAATCCATTTATGGCCTTAAACAAGCTTCCAAACAATGGTATATAAAATTTCATAATACCATTACTTCCTTTGGATTTAAAGAAAACACTGTTGATCAGTGTATATATCTGAAGGTAAGTGGGAATAAGTTTATTATATTTGTCTTATATGTGGATGATATTTTACTTGCAAATAGTGATCTTGATTTATTGCACGAAACCAAGATATTTCTCAACAAGAACTTTAAGATGATTAATATGAATGAGGCAGCCTATATTATTGGCATTGAGATATTCAGGGATAGATCTCAAGGATTATTAGGATTGTCTCAGAAAGGATATATTGATCGTATCTTGAAACGATTTAATATACAGCTTTGATCAGCCAATGATGTACCTATTACTAGAGGTGAAAAATTTAGTCAAAACCAGTACCCAAGAAATGACTTAGAAAAAAATCAAATGAAGAATATTCCCTATGGGTGCATAGTTGGAAGTCTATTATATGCTCAAACATGTACAAGACCAGATATCAGTTTTGCAGTTGCAATGCTGGGAAGATACCAAAGCAACCCAGAAATTGAATATTAGAAAATTGCAAAGAAAATAATGAGATATCTGCAAAGGACGAAAGATTATATGTTCACATACAGGAGATCAGATCAGCTTGATGTGATAGGATATTCAGATGTTAATTTTGCAAATTACCTCGATAGTAGGAAGTCCACTTCAGGATTTGTATTTATGTTAGTTGGTGGGGCAATTTCTTGGAAAAGTGCAAAGCAATCGCTTATTGCATCATCAATATTGGAAGCTGAATTTGTGGCATGCTTTGAGGCCACAAATCAAGCTTTATAGCTGCAAAATTTCATCTCGGGACTTGGTGTGGTCGACTCAATTGCTAGGTTGCTGAAGATATTTTGTGATAACACTACAGCAGTTTTCTTCTCTAAGAATGACAAGTACTCACGTGGTTCGAAGCACATTGAGATAAAGTACTTGGTGGTTAGAGAAAGAGTCCAGAAACAACAAGTGTCAATTGAGAACTTGAGCATTACTATGATGATTGCTGATCCATTGTCAAAAGCCTTATAGTGTAAAATATTCAAAGAACATGTTCTTAGAATGGGGCTTGTGAGCAAGTCATAAAGGATATGGTAATGCATGTTTATGTGGATGCTATTACTGACATTCTTCTTGCTTAATTGAAGTTATCTGTTTACGTTTATGCTTATGCATATTATGGTTGAATGTAATAAAAAGATTATCTTGACAAGATAAATTACAGGAGTCATTATGAACTATATTAGGAAAGACTAATAATGTTGTGGTACATAGAAGGGAGTATGACATTGATGAAATACAACCGCTATGACTCGCATTGATAGTTGGACTTAATATAGTATTATTGTGTTTATTGGACTTATTGACTTATTTTAAAACATGGCCATGTATAAAATGTTTTTCAAAATTTCTTGGAATCCAATTAGGTAAAATTATTTTTTAAACAAATTTTGTTTTGTTTATTTTGATTTTGAAGATCTCTTTTATATCTTATCAATTAATGGGCCAAGTGGGAGAATGTTAGAATATGTGGCCCTTTTATAATTCCATAAGATATATAATATAATAACTAATTGGGTTCTTTAGCCAATAAACTAAGTCCACTACGGAACGATTCCTTGGGAGATAACCTTGATGGGAGGAAATCTCCTGAGATCTCATCTGGGAGAGCGTTGGCATTATGTACAGACGCACCTCTCCATTGAGGGATTTTAGTTTCCCCAAAACCCCTTTCTCCCTAAAATCCATCACTCTCAACTCATAGTGGGTTCTGTAAAAGGATATGAAGAGAAGTGGGTCTTGTGAAAGGATAGGAAGAGAGAAGAAATGATCAACTCCTCCTTGCACTCCTTGCAGACGGTGACGGTGTTTGCAACTTTGGATCGGTGGCTGACTGCAGCAATCTTGGATAAAAAACGATGCTTAGCATATCAAACCAGATCTCTGAAGAGATGACATCAAAAGGTATGCATTGTAATAATTAGATCTATACACTTGATTTCAATCCTGGCATATAAGTTATTTCTGTATTTTAGATATAGCATAATTATAGATTTTAGGCTTACACTATGATCATCATTATTTCATTTTCGTCCATTCTGATTGTCGAGTTAGTTAGGACTCGAGACTATCATAAGCTTTCGAGTGGAGGATGCAGCGGTTTGACGATGTTCCTATAGACGATTACATACATCAATGCTTAGGTTAATAATTTACGGTAGTTTTTGAAACATCGGAGCTCAGTTAACTATTGAAATCGAGTAGTGAGCTGATCTAAGGGCACCATTATCGATCATTATTTAGTCATGAAGATGTTTGTTGAATCATTGTGTTATGGTTACCACATACGAGGCTTGAATGAGGCCAAGAGACTAATTTGATGTATATGATAAGATGAGACACAACATTTTTGGTCGTTAAGACATATTAAGATAACACATAGAGGTTGTCAAGACATGTTATCATACTTCGTGAATGACTTTGTCACATTCAGATATGGGTGTTAATAGTATTATTGTTTTTATTTATTAGAATATTTCATAATCGAATTTGATAGCATCTAAGGTGAGATGCTTCATGACTAGATTCTCGATCACATTAGAGATAAGAGATACTTCATGGGTAGATTCATTCGTGTCAAAGGAGAGAGACATGTCATGATCGCATTCGATGATCATATCGAAGAACGATGGATAATTCATGATCAAACAATCCACCACCATTTTTGGTTCTTTGGTTCCCGGTGCAATCTCATCACTAAAATTTCTTCTCCCGAGCACTCATTAGCTGTTATCAATTTTGTCTGTTTATATTTTATATGCCTAAAGACCCGAATGTGGTGTGGTGTGCTGTGGTGGTGTAGACTCTTTGTTGGTTTTTTGTTATTAATCTTTGACTGACTAATGATCCTTCTGCTGGTCTTTTTATATTTTATTTCTTTAAAAGAGAGAGTGAATGTTGACATTGATATACTTCCCATTCTACCCTCCAAACTTTATATCTAAATGTGAACCATCTAAACTTGAAGAAGGTTTGGAAACACATATTATAGTCAAAATTATAATAACTATTTCTTAATTATATTCTCTATTTAAAATAATAATAATTTCAAAAAAATAAGTGGAACGAAGTTTTGCTAATAACTAATGTGCCCTTTATTGAAAATAAAATAAGCTCATAAAAAAAGTCCTAATCCCACATATAATAATAATAATAATAATAATAATAATAATAATAATAATAATAAATAATAGCATTTATTTATTAACGGCCACGGTTGGGCATCGCCCTGTACCTCATGATGGATGCCATGCGCTGCAACTTCAACTGATGCCGGAACCGATTGATGAAGTCATCAGCCCGCGCATCCACCTCCTCGTCGCCGTCTCCTTCGGCCGGATCCACGGTTTCTGTCGCTGCCGCTGCCGCCGCCGCCTCATCGACCTCCGCCTCGTGGAAGTGCGGGAACGCCGACTCCTCGCTGGCCGGCTTCTTGATCGGCACCGACAGCCTCGGCGGCATCTCCCCGGCCGTCGGCCGCGGTTCCGACTGACTCAATCCTGAATGTTCGGGGCGGTGATCGGAGGCCTCGAAGGGAGGGGGGATCTCTCCAGAGAGGCAGCGGTGGAGGTTGAAGGAGCGAAGGCGGTCGAGGACGATGGAGGGGGAGCGGGCGAGGAAACGGCCAGGGTAGGCTCCGCCGTCGTCGTCCGCCGCGGCGCCGGGCTGGTGATGGTGGGATGACTTGGAGGCGACGGCGATGCCGCCGATGACGAGGTTGAGAAGGACGAAGAGGACGGTCGGCGTGAACCAGCCGCACATCGAGGCCAACATCGACGGCAGCGACTCTTCCATCGTGGAATGTTCTGCTGCTTCTCTGGGCGTGGAGTGGGAGACGGAGAGAGTGCGAGGAGCGGGGAGATTTATACTGGGGCGTTGGGGTCGCACATGTCAGAAGCATGTGAGTCTGTTGGCGGTAGAAGGCGACGAAAACGGTTGAGGCGATAGAATTTACGCACTCAAATGCCACTAGGACGGTGGGTCCCAATATACATAGTGCTTCACCGCTGGTAGGCAAACCAAAGGGTAAATAAACCGGGTTTACGCGATTGCTGTCCAGTTAACAAACAGAGTTAAAAGGTTTTTTATATTATTTTTGTTTGCGGGACCCATACGCCATTGACGTTTCCCTTCCGATTGCTGCTCGGTTCTTCTTTCTGATGCGGAAGGGAAGAACGTACTCTACCCAACTCATCGGTGCATTAATTCTGCATCACGAATAATTGAAGAGGTTGAAGATGTTTACGTGCGTGAGATATGAACGTATTCCAGATCCGACGCCCAAGGGGGGAAGTGGAGATGGAGGAGGCAGTGGCGGACGTGATGAAAGCTGGTCTCCGCAGCCGTCTTCTTCGTCCTACCGCCCGGAAGACGTCCTTCGTCACCATCGACGGGAACGAGGATGGCTGCAAGCCGTCATTCTCCAGCTCCGCCTGCAGCATCGACGCCGGTCGCGGCGTTGACGGGGTGCCCTACTTCGTCGGGTGCAATCTATGGTTACGTACTACCATTATTCGGGTTGTCTGTACTGTCGGAAAAGTCTTCTCTCCATTGCGGTAATGTAATGCCAACGAGCTTTCCCCACGAGAACATGGCGGCAACTTAATTAAACATCTTCTTATCGACATTGGATTTGTCTGCCATCCTGACATGGCCTTATTTCTCTGTATGTTAGGCTTGGCTCTGTCACACCCATGCTATTTCCGGGACAAAAGCATGACTCATATCGTAGCGTGATAGCAGTAATTATCCTCATCGGAGGTGGACTTTATTAGACATTGCTTGGCCATGAAATGACCACAAGACATGAAGACAAACAAGCTTTCTCTCATAAACAAATGAAGGATCGCAGTCACATGAAGTAATATTCTCCTCCCTCGGTAAAGGAGTGCATCACGATTCACGCCCAGACGGCGAGGGCCGACATCGCTCCGGCGCCGAGGAACAGGGCAGAGTAGGACGCCACCTGAAGCCGCGCGTTGCATCTCATCGTCTGGCTCAGGAAATCAGCAGCGATCAGATCCACCAAAGCCATGTATATCAGAATCCCCGCCGACATCGAGTCCAGCAACCCCTCCACCACCAGCGCCCTCGGGCTCTTGGCGTTGTAGGACGACGCGATGCCCAAGCCGACGGCGATCCCCGCGGGCGTCGTGATGGCGAAGAAGCACGCCATCACGGCCGCCACCGTGTTCTTGAACTGTGCCTGCATGCGACCGCCACGCCGTCGTTCCCAACCTCGAATCACTCACTGATCAAGATCGAGTAAGAGGTGACAGGGATCGCTCACTCACCTGCGAGATGCACCCGCCCAGTGCGAAGCCTTCGAAGAACTGGTGGAAGGAGAGGGCTGCCACCAGGGGCCTTATGGTGCATGGGCTCTGTGACACGCCCAACGAGAGTCCGATGATGACGGAATGCGACACGATTCCAAGCTCCAATATCTATCCACAGATCGTAACGGAGTCCCATGTAAGCAAATAAGCTTATTATGCTCGAAAAAGGGAATAGCGTCTACCAACGGTGGATTGGGTCACCTGAGATACCACCACGTTCCTTGCGTGAGAGGAGGTCTCGCCCTCGTCCTCGTGGTCATGGCCGTGAGAGCGGCCGGGGGTCGCGAGGACGTGCACATGGCCGTGGCGATGCGCCGTCGAATGGACGTGCATCCCTACGATGTGCATTGGGCCTTTCTCACTCCCCGACCCCTTCCCCCTCGCCTCCGGGGCCACTGAGATGACGGTGATTCCGTTCTTGTCATCTTCCGCTGCCGTTATTGGCGCCACTGCAGTTACGGCGGCCGCGGCATTCGTCGACTCCGCTCGTTGCTTCCGCTCGTAGAACTGGGTTCCCAAGAAGTCGACGACGAGGGTGCCAAGCGCCGCCAGCATTGCTCCGAAGCCGGCGAAGGGGAAGCGCCGCCAGGGAGAGTCCGGGAGGCAGGGGTGCGTGAGCGACGACTCTGCGCCGTGCAACATATGCACGAAGCCCGTTGCGAGTATAACACCGGCGGCGAACGCCTTGGCGCAGACGAACAGGCCCCCGTCCGTGCGCAGAAGCCGCTGCTTCCGCCCCACGAGAGGGATGGCCACGCCGACGGTTCCGGCCACCAGGATCGCCGCGATGGCGGCAACCTTAAGCCGCAAAGCCTCCTCGCCGTCCCGGCACTCCTCCGCCGCATCGACGGCCGCGCAGCTCGTCGCCGCCATCGACTCCGACACCCTCACTTCAAAATTAATCCAGGACTTGAGCGCCCGACATCCAAAACATACGAATCAAAGAGCAAAAAGGAGCGATTTTTACCCGAAAAATAGCTCAGCTGCTCACGGAATCGAGTGAGGCAGACCAAAATATCAAAAGCCTGAATAAGAAACCCAATCAGCTCGAACACAAGGTTTCTATAGCTCGATTCCGGCACACGACATCATCAAGTACATACCTCAACGACAGACATCGGAAGATCTTTCGCGAAAGTTGGTCGTGAAGTTGGAACTCGAGATCTTCTATCGATGCCTTCTCTCTCTTTTCTCCGAGGGAGAGGTGGAATCAATGAATTTTATAAGCAGCTGAACGAAGGAACCACCACAACATGTCGACATCGGGGAGACGGAGAACGGGGGAGCTGGGTTGACCGTACCGTACTCTACCATGAACGCGGACGACCGAGATGAGAAGGCAGAGGCTCTGCAGGGACCGAACCAAGCCGACCGCCCAAAATTTAGCATGGTTCAGAGCAGAGCATACCCACTGGGTGCGATGGGAATGTCGACATCGTGGCGATCGGGCCACGTTCACCCAGCAGCGAGAGTTGACCTGCCGAGCCTGCGAACGACTGCGTGCTCTGTTGCGATTCCCGGTCCCTCCGATTCGCAGGATGACCCGTCTCCGTCGTGTGCTTTCTTGGCTTGCAGATGGCGGGTACGTTTGTGGCGGACGCAGTGACCCTGCCCCAGGGCCCCGCCTCCGCGTGTAAGCCACGTCGGCCTGGGTAGTAAAACTGGTCGCGTAAGTACCCATCCATGTAATTATCATGGCGCATGGGGATTGTGCACCGTCGGATGCGCGATCCAACTAAAAGGAACGGTGAGTGAATTGAGATCTTTTAATGGTCATTTTTACCATATTATTTGGAATTTGTATATTAATTTATTCGTTCTATAATTTTAAGCATAGAGTCTCCTCCGAGTGATGCACCAATCATGGTACCCTCCTGGGCCCGCGCTAGGAACCAATGCTAAGGCGAGTATCGCGTGGGTCGAGTGTTTCAGACACGGTTTACATCAGCCGCTGTCACATGGTCTCCATGTGGTGCGAGCGATTCCAATCTGCTTCCGGAACAAACTTGTCTTCTAACAACTCAGCGAAAGAGAAAAGGTCGAAGGCGAAAGGGTGAGGAGGAAGAGACAGTGGGCCGGCGATGGCGAGATCCCCCGTCTTGATCTATTTGATCGTGGTGCTCTTCGTCCTCCTACTCCTCTCCTTCGCCCCGAAGCGACCTAACCGCCCCCACCGCCGGCTAAAGCTCCGTTCCGCCGCTGACCTCTCCGACCAGACCGGCCATGACCGCCGTGGCATTCCCTTCGACCCTGTCATCGCCGACATCGAGCGCCGCCGGGAGGATCGCGAGTGGGAGCGGGCCCACTTCCTCCCCCAGGGTCACGCCCCCGCCATGGAAGCCCAGCCCGAGTGGGAGGACTTCATGGATGCTGAGGACTACATCAACGACGAGGAGCGCTTCAATGTCTCCGACCGCATCGTGCAGCTTTTTCCCAAGATCGACGTTGCCCCCGCCGACGGCTTTGTTAGCTCCGATGAGCTGGCCGAGTGGAATCTCAGGCAGGTGGAGAAAGAGGTGATTCACCGGACTCAGCGGGACATGGAGCTCCATGACAAGAATCACGACGGCTTCATCTCGTTCGAGGAGTACGAGCCGCCCAGCTGGGCCCGTCGATACCATGGTCGATACAGATCCCTGCTTAGCAACAAATCTGTTCTAATTGCAAAAAAAACCCTTCTTTTTCTTCACCTGTTTTGTCGTAAATTCTTTGGTTCCTAATTTGCAGATATTCAATGCCTTTTCTATTTTCCCTATCTCTTTGGTGAAAGACTAGTTGTTTTCACTACTTCTTCATTGTCGAGATTGAGATTTCCCTTTTTGCTAAAGACCATTAAGGATCACAAAGCGGGGCTTCAGATTCCAGCAAATATTGGAAGTTTTACCCATCTGAACTTTGAGGGTTTCACTTGATACGGGAGTGTGTTTGGTATTCCATTGCATTATTGCTTTGGATTCTCTGACCTGTTTAATATGAGGCGTATAATTTCATCCTCATGTTTCAGTTTTCTAGATGTGAAATTTCTTATAAGCATAAAAATGATACCTTGAGGTCTGGATTCAAGCAAAAAATTGGAGTCTAATATTCCCTTCGCCCCCTCCCCCCCTCTCTCCCCTAAAGTATCAAGTATAATTCTTCTTCTTTTTTCTTTAATTACTTGGGAGATCAAAAAAGAAATGTTCTCCAAAGTTGTCCGTCCTCTTTAAAGAGTTATTCTTCTTCAGCAAGCACTGCATCCACCTGTCTCTTCACTGCACTGTCCCTTTGACACTCTTTTCTCAAGATTAACGTCAAAATTTAGTTAAAGCAAAATGTACTGGAACACATTTATGGGCAACTTATCCGTTCCAAGAGTTGATAAACTTGCATAGGATATGCTGTTAGGCACAGGGTGGTACAATCAATACACATAATCTTTGGTCAATTGAGTCTTTAGGCTTCAACATTATGCATTTGATTGTTACACATCTGTAGGAGCTTAGCAGTGCATGTAGATAAAGATATGGAACTTGAAGGTTGAGCCTTTGATAAATATATTATTTTTCCTAATATACTGGCAGATGATAATGCAACCGATGATAAAGTGGGATGGTGGAAAGAGGAGCATTTCAATGCTTCAGATATGGATGGCGATGGTCTTCTTAATCTAACAGAGTTTAATGAGTATGTTCTTTGCTCAGTGTACCCATCCAGATTTGCATGTTTTTTTCCTTTTTTGTTTATTTTTTTAAATTTTATGGCTACAGCTTTCTTCATCCAGCTGACACCAACAATCCAAAGCTGATCCACTGGCTGTCCAAAGAAGAAATTAGGTATTGCTCTCTCTGCTTTGCCAAACATTCTTCAAGGTTGTGTACATTAATGCCTCATTAAAAAGATTAGTTGTATTTGCAAAATATCATACTTTTAATAAGGTAGAGGCTCCTATGCAATCTAATTCTCTTAAACATATGTTAATATTGTGCATAATGGGAGCCCTCTGTTCTTATAGAAATTTTATGCCAATGATTTTGAGATCTATGTACATGGTAGGTTATCTTTATGCCGAAGACATTCTCATTTCTTTTATCCACTCATTAAAAACTGTATGTTATAGCTAAACATAAACTCCCTGTGTTAACATTCATGTTTCAAACTTCAAAGTGTGAATCAGGAAGTTTAAACTTGCAAATATCAGACTGTGAACTAACTTTTTCATGTGCCAAAGGTGCTATGAAGGAAACCAATAATTGATGGCCTAAGGAACTCACAGAAGGATGTGAAGGGAGGATCTGAACATCTTTAAAAAAAAAAAGAATTATGCATTTAATTCCAAATATCTTTAGTTGTCTACATGGTTCCTTTCAGAATTTTTTCTCTTTATGCTTAGCTTGCACTACTTCTTACTTATAGAGGATGCAAAATAATCTATCCTATCTTTTGATGGTTATTCATCCATCTTTAATTTGTATAGCAGTGAATTGTGCATGTTCACTGTGATGATCGGCCAACATTCTACCCTTGGTTGATTCCATTGTTATCCTCTTTCCCTAAACACAGATATGCTTCTTTCTTTATATGCATGGTACAAGTTCATACTTTACCCTTAGTTTTGCTTCCCTAGAAGATGACCTTGAAATTTCAAGGGCATGTTACTTGCTATGTTGTCATTTAGGTATGCAAATTGTTTTTGACGTTTGCTTAGTGTACAGTGTTTCACTACTTTGTCTTAATGCTAATCTAATAACATGTTTATATGTCAAAAGATTTGTTGATTTTTAATGTGGGAACAACAAATAATTTCACGATGATGCATAATATTTATTATCAAACTTTTGGCAAAGCCAACTTAACATCTAAACAAACACCTTTCGCAGAGTTTTTTTTTTCTAGTACTTGGTAGGAATGAGCTTTCCTTGTTTACTGGGGTTTGGAGGAGGAAAGATATCATTATTCCTATTGAAGCCTTTTAGGTTTTAATTGAAGCCCCTCTCTTGCATAATTCTGCTTTGGCTATGAAATTGGGATCATTGTAGATGAGAGTTTCTAGTAGAGGAGCTAAGACCATAAGCAAGACTTATAGCTTAGGGAGAAGCATACTTTAACATAGGAGTTTTAGTAATAAGTATAAGACTGAAAACACGGAGTAGAGGCCTAAGAGGAACCTCTCGCACATAGGAATTGAGGATTCTTTATTCGCTCGCTACCGCCCTGAATACCAAAATGAGGAACTGTAAGAACTCTAAAACAGGACTTGTAGTAGTTGCTTGTCTTGAGAGCACTAGGTTGGCAGGAGCCCTAGGTTGGTTACTGCTTTCTATGATACTGGCTAATGATTCTGTTTCCTTGGATTAGGGTTTAATTCTTTACTTTTGGTTAATTGGATGTCTCTACAATTTTATCAACATGGTTTGCATGATTAGTTGTTCGATTTCCATGGTCACTTTTCATGAATTGCTGAGATCTGTAGATGATCCTATAGATCATCGGCTATATGACAGATCTCATGCAGGTAATGATCCCGATAAATTTCTAGCTAATACAGCTGACCACTGTCATTTTCACTCCTTTGTTTGACGGATCTTGTCACCTAACTGATCTTCAATCCGTTTCATGTTCTGCATCTGCACATCCTGTACATCTGGAATGATCCTGAACAATCCTGAACTTTGCGACTGATTCTAACTGATCTTGATCTTGAAAACTTATTAATGGTAAAAAGGCTTGATGGCCATTCTTGACGTTCGCATGTTTCATCACTGAAAACTTATATATGTTTTGAATTTTTTTTTTTAATTTCGTACAGAAGGTATTTTCTTGTCACGCTTTTTTGTTGCTGACATGATTTAATTTTCCTTCTCAGGGAAAGAGATAAAGATAAAGATGGGAAGCTTAATTTTCAAGAATATTTTAATGGTTTATTTGACTTAATAAGGAAAGATGATGTTTACAATTTTACACATGAATCCGATAGTTCAACAGATGCACCGGCTAAAAGGCTTTTCTCACAGCTTGACCACAACAATGATGGGTATGTGCACTGGGATTCATTTTTTGCTATTGTAAATAGAAAACTAAATTTATTTGGGGTAATTTTATACATGCTTTTCTTTACAGATACTTATCAGAAGATGAGTTGATACCCGTAATTGGTGATCTACACCCATCAGAGCGTTACTATGCTAAGCAACAAGCTGATTATGTTATTTCAGAGGTACCTGTTGAATATATTCTCACACAATATTATATTTACATCATGCCTAGATATAAGAACGCTCAAAAGAAGATATCTTGTTCAACAAAAACACTGGTGATTGACTTTGATAAAACCATATATAGAGAATTTTACCTAGTCATGAACAAGCCTTTCCTTATCCATTCAAAAGGATGAGAAGAAAGATAAATTTTCTTTTTCCATAATCAATCTCAATTACTGAGTTAGTAATAGGATTCTACCAAAACAAATAGCAAAGGGGAAGTCTTCCATATCATTTTTTTCATTCCTTATTTCAACTCTTTTCAATTGTGTCTCCCAATTTATCTTGATGAGTTTTGGGGAGTAGAAGAAAGATGACTGTAGTTGAGGTTTGGTGCATTACACATGTATCATAGTTTAGGTATTGTAATTTTTTTCACTTGTCATCACATGAAAGGTGGAATAAGATTTTAGAACCTTGTTCACGAGTTATCTTGGTCAATTTGTAGTTTATCCAATGCAAAATATTAATCGAATCAATTATACCATGACCCTTTGTTACCTGGGAGACCAAGGTTCGAGTCACGAAAATAGTCTCTTTAAATATCTAAAGGTAAGGCTGTGTGCTTTGGCCCTCCCTAGACCCTACATTGGCGGAAGCCTCGTGAACGGGGTACGTTTAATTATACCATGGAGACCTTAGATGCATGTACATTTCATGAAACTTTTTACTAGAAGTATGTTCTGCGTGGATGACGGGCTTCATGTCGTTCACATAATGCTGAAATAAGGGTGAGGCAGAAATAACTTCTAACCGAGTAATTCTTGGCAAATATGCAGGCAGATGCAGATAAAGACAGGCGCTTAACTTTGAAAGAGATGATTGAAAATCCTTATGTATTCTACAGTGCTATTTTTGCCGAAGAAGATGATTATAACTATCATGATGAGTTCCGCTAGTTAATCCTGGTAACTTATAAATTCCTGATTTATGTAATAGCACATTCCTAAGAATTTTTCGTATTTATTTTTACCCACTTTTGTTTCAGGTTGGAAATAGTACCACAAGAACTTCAAGGATTTTTCTTGTTTTCTATAGCCTGAGTGTGTACCATTAGTTGACAAATCATCCTTCCTGCAAGTGATCATCATAGATGGTTCATCTGAACGTAAGTCCTTTGGACCGAATAAGTTTCTGATAATATCATTTAATTTCAATAATGCATTCTCTTTTGACAGGTCATGTGTCTGCAAAGTTGCTGCCATTAGATTTTAATTTGACCAACTAATTTAGTTAGAAATTCACTGGATTTTTCTTCTTCTTTCGAAGGCATGCTGGCCCTTTCGTTATCTAATTGGATGTATGTAAAAATAGAATGACAGTTAAATATGATATAGATTGTACACATTTCCCCTTCTTTGCTCGGTTATTCTGGTCTAATAAAATGATTTGGTGCAATGATGTGACTCAACATTGCATCCACTTGTATTAGTTGTATTATTAAATTATGTTTTCAATATAACGATCTGTCATTGATCTTTGATGGAATTGGTAAGTATTGATGATGGAATAGCAATATTAAATTACCAGGAAAAATGAATGATTGCACATAAGATGAATCCTAAACAGGTGGCTTTGGATCAGCTCCTGCTGATAAAGTGGTGCACATAATTTGCATTTGCTTGTTTCATCAACTCCTGTGGTGTATGATAAGATTTTGGATTCGAATCTAAATCAAAATATGATAAAATTTTATAATTTAAATCATAATAAGATAAATCTCTAATGTTATCATTGTGAAGAAAGGGAGGACCAACACTATTAATCTGCATATAAATATGACACACACACACACACAATATATATATATATATATATATATATATATATATA